ATCTGAATAGATATTGAAGTAACAATCTAAATAGATATTGAACTAACAATCTAAATAGATATTGAACTAACAATCTAAATAGATATTGAACTAACAATCTAAATAGATATGAAACTAACAATCTAAATAGATATTAAACTAACAATCTGAATAGATATTGAACTAACAATCTAAATAGATATTGAACTAACAATCTAAATAGATATTGAACTAACAATCTAAATAGATATTGAACTAACAATCTAAATAGATATGAAACTAACAATCTAAATAGATATTAAACTAACAATCTGAATAGATATTGAAGTAACAATCTAAATAGATATTGAAGTAACAATCTAAATAGATATTGAACTAACAATCTAAATAGATATTGAACTAACAATCTGAATAGATATTGAAGTAACAATCTAAATAGATATTGAACTAACAATCTAAATAGATATTGAACTAACAATCTAAATAGATATTGAACTAACAATCTGAATAGATATTAAACTAACAATCTAAATAGATATTAAACTAACAATCTGAATAGATATTAAACTAACAATCTAAATAGATATTGAACTAACAATCTAAATAGATATTGAACTAACAATCTAAATAGATATTAAACTAACAATCTAAATAGATATTGAACTAACAATCTAAATAGATATGAAACTAACAATCTAAATAGATATTGAACTAACAATCTAAATAGATATGAAACTAACAATCTAAATAGATATTAAACTAACAATCTGAATAGATATTAAACTAACTATCTAAATAGATATTGAACTAACAATCTAAATAGATATGAAACTAACAATCTAAATAGATATGAAACTAACAATCTAAATAGATATTAAACTAACAATCTAAATAGATATTGAACTAACAATCTGAATAGATATTAAACTAACAATCTAAATAGATATTGAACTAACAATCTGAATAGATATTGAACTAACAATCTGAATAGATATTGAACTAACAATCTAAATAGATATGAAACTAACAATCTAAATAGATATGAAACTAACAATCTGAATAGATATTGAACTAACAATCTGAATAGATATGAAACTAACAATCTAAATAGATATGAAACTAACAATCTAAATAGATATGAAACTAACAATCTAAATAGATATTAAACTAACAATCTAAATAGATATTGAACTAACAATCTGAATAGATATTAAACTAACAATCTAAATAGATATTGAACTAACAATCTAAATAGATATGAAACTAACAATCTAAATAGATATTGAACTAACAATCTAAATAGATATTGAACTAACAATCTAAATAGATATGAAACTAACAATCTAAATAGATATGAAACTAACAATCTGAATAGATATGAAACTAACAATCTAAATAGATATTGAACTAACAATCTAAATAGATATGAAACTAACAATCTAAATAGATATGAAACTAACAATCTGAATAGATATTGAACTAACAATCTAAATAGATATTGAACTAATAATCTAAATAGATATTGAACTAACAATCTAAATAGATATTAAACTAACAATCTGAATAGATATTGAACTAACAATCTCAATAGATATTGAACTAACAATCTAAATAGATATTAAACTAACAATCTGAATAGATATGAAACTAACAATCTAAATAGATATTGAACTAACAATCTAAATAGATATTAAACTAACAATCTGAATAGATATGAAACTAACAATCTAAATAGATATTGAACTAACAATCTAAATAGATATTAAACTAACAATCTAAATAGATATTAAACTAACAATCTGAATAGATATTGAACTAACAATCTAAATAGATATTGAACTAACAATCTGAATAGATATTAAACTAACAATCTGAATAGATATGAAACTAACAATCTAAATAGATATTGAACTAACAATCTAAATAGATATGAAACTAACAATCTAAATAGATATTAAACTAACAATCTGAATAGATATGAAACTAACAATCTAAATAGATATGAAACTAACAATCTAAATAGATATTAAACTAACAATCTGAATAGATATTAAACTAACAATCTGAATAGATATGAAACTAACAATCTAAATAGATATTGAACTAACAATCTAAATAGATATTGAACTAACAATCTAAATAGATATTAAACTAACAATCTGAATAGATATTGAACTAACAATCTCAATAGATATTGAACTAACAATCTAAATAGATATTAAACTAACAATCTGAATAGATATGAAACTAACAATCTAAATAGATATTGAACTAACAATCTAAATAGATATTGAACTAATAATCTAAATAGATATTGAACTAACAATCTAAATAGATATTAAACTAACAATCTGAATAGATATTGAACTAACAATCTCAATAGATATTGAACTAACAATCTAAATAGATATTAAACTAACAATCTGAATAGATATGAAACTAACAATCTAAATAGATATTGAACTAACAATCTAAATAGATATTAAACTAACAATCTGAATAGATATGAAACTAACAATCTAAATAGATATTGAACTAACAATCTAAATAGATATTAAACTAACAATCTAAATAGATATTAAACTAACAATCTGAATAGATATTGAACTAACAATCTAAATAGATATTGAACTAACAATCTGAATAGATATTAAACTAACAATCTGAATAGATATGAAACTAACAATCTAAATAGATATTGAACTAACAATCTAAATAGATATTAAACTAACAATCTGAATAGATATGAAACTAACAATCTAAATAGATATTGAACTAACAATCTAAATAGATATTAAACTAACAATCTAAATAGATATTAAACTAACAATCTGAATAGATATTGAACTAACAATCTAAATAGATATTGAACTAACAATCTGAATAGATATTGAACTAACAATCTAAATAGATATTAAACTAACAATCTAAATAGATATTAAACTAACAATCTGAATAGATATGAAACTAACAATCTAAATAGATATTGAACTAACAATCTAAATAGATATGAAACTAACAATCTAAATAGATATTAAACTAACAATCTGAATAGATATGAAACTAACAATCTAAATAGATATTGAACTAACAATCTAAATAGATATTAAACTAACAATCTGAATAGATATGAAACTAACAATCTAAATAGATATTGAACTAACAATCTAAATAGATATTAAACTAACAATCTAAATAGATATTAAACTAACAATCTGAATAGATATTGAACTAACAATCTAAATAGATATTGAACTAACAATCTGAATAGATATTGAACTAACAATCTAAATAGATATTAAACTAACAATCTAAATAGATATTAAACTAACAATCTGAATAGATATTGAACTAACAATCTAAATAGATATTGAACTAACAATCTAAATAGATATTAAACTAACAATCTGAATAGATATTAAACTAACAATCTAAATAGATATTAAACTAACAATCTGAATAGATATGAAACTAACAATCTGAATAGATATTGAACTAACAATCTAAATAGATATTGAACTAACAATCTGAATAGATATTGAACTAACAATCTAAATAGATATTGAACTAACAATCTGAATAGATATTGAACTAACAATCTGAATAGATATTAAACTAACAATCTAAATAGATATTAAACTAACAATCTAAATAGATATGAAACTAACAATCTGAATAGATATGAAACTAACAATCTAAATAGATATGAAACTAACAATCTAAATAGATATTGAACTAACAATCTGAATAGATATTGAACTAACAATCTAAATAGATATTGAACTAACAATCTGAATAGATATTGAACTAACAATCTGAATAGATATTGAACTAACAATCTAAATAGATATTGAACTAACAATCTGAATAGATATTGAACTAACAATCTAAATAGATATTGAACTAACAATCTGAATAGATATTGAACTAACAATCTAAATAGATATGAAACTAACAATCTAAATAGATATTGAACTAACAATCTAAATAGATATGAAACTAACAATCTAAATAGATATTAAACTAACAATCTAAATAGATATTGAACTAACAATCTGAATAGATATTGAACTAACAATCTAAATAGATATTGAACTAACAATCTGAATAGATATTGAACTAACAATCTAAATAGATATGAAACTAACAATCTAAATAGATATTGAACTAACAATCTAAATAGATATTGAACTAACAATCTGAATAGATATTGAACTAACAATCTAAATAGATATTGAACTAACAATCTGAATAGATATTGAACTAACAATCTAAATAGATATGAAACTAACAATCTAAATAGATATTGAACTAACAATCTAAATAGATATGAAACTAACAATCTAAATAGATATTAAACTAACAATCTAAATAGATATTGAACTAACAATCTGAATAGATATTGAACTAACAATCTAAATAGATATTGAACTAACAATCTGAATAGATATTGAACTAACAATCTAAATAGATATGAAACTAACAATCTAAATAGATATTGAACTAACAATCTAAATAGATATTGAACTAACAATCTGAATAGATATTGAACTAACAATCTAAATAGATATGAAACTAACAATCTAAATAGATATTGAACTAACAATCTAAATAGATATGAAACTAACAATCTAAATAGATATTAAACTAACAATCTGAATAGATATGAAACTAACAATCTAAATAGATATTGAAGTAACAATCTAAATAGATATTGAACTAACAATCTGAATAGATATTGAAGTAACAATCTAAATAGATATTGAACTAACAATCTAAATAGATATTAAACTAACAATCTGAATAGATATGAAACTAACAATCTAAATAGATATTGAAGTAACAATCTAAATAGATATTGAAGTAACAATCTAAATAGATATTGAACTAACAATCTAAATAGATATTGAAGTAACAATCTAAATAGATATTGAAGTAACAATCTAAATAGATATTGAACTAACAATCTAAATAGATATTAAAGTGACAGAAGTAAAGGTAGAAAGAGGATGTGAACTGACCGGCACTCTGAAGGGAGAGGAGTTTGGGCTCTCAGCGCTCTGCTCCCCGGATCCAGAGATACTCCTCCTCCTGGGAGAACGCTCCGAACACACTTCTGCACACACAGAGAGAGACAGTTAGTTACAGTTACTACTCCTCCTCCTCCTCCTCCTCCTCCTCCTCTTCCTCTTCCTCCTCCTCTTCCTCCCCCTCCTCCTCCTCCTCCTCCTCTTCCTCTGATCAACGCTCCACATTGTTTATAAAATCTATTTCAATGTATTTGAGGTTTTAACCTGTTAAGCTCTGAGCCTGTTTTTCAGGTCTCAGGCTCTAAATGCCATTCCCAGAACAAATGACCATTCACTTCTAAAAGGGTTAAATTAATAATCTTTGTTCTCAAAGTAATGATAAACCTGTGAGTTGGATGTAGAAAAGTCAGAATCAATATAGATGTTTTTATTTTAAAGTAAATTCAGATTGACATAGTAAAAAAATTTAAATTATAATTTCCGTCCCAAAAAACCAGTACTTATAGTGAAAACTACCCTTGAAGGATGGGATCGGAGACTAAAAGCTTTAGGAATCCAAACTATAACATATAATAAGTACCCTGTATCAAGATTGATGCAAAACAAGTGACATTTTACCTTTTTAGAGAGGTTTAGCAAAAATAAACACTTCTGGGGTCATTTGGGTGGATTTTCTATTTCTCTGGAACCTATCGGTCGATTTTGATGGTTGACACCTCTTTCTGACCGTTAGAGCCAATAGAATCGAGGGGAGGTTCCTAAATCCACCTACACGTTACCAAATAAGGAGTGAGAGTGATGCGTACGCAGTTTTCCCAAACCGAAAGCGATGTTACGCTCTGAAAACTGAAAAATAGGCTTATTGCTGATGGATGATCAGGAATCATTTCAAAGCGACACAGACACATTGGATGAACCTTCAGCCGCGTGTTTATCGTTGTGATGCCACTGAACACGACTTTTCATCAGAAACAGCAAAAGGTAAGACCATTTTCCGTGTTTCCCCTCGTAAAGCTACGTGTTGTGATGTCTGGGTTTGCTTCCCATGCTGCGAGTTCTGATCGCTCAGTGATGATACTTATATTTCTATAATCTGTGGATTCTCAGCTTGCTAGCTGATATCTTGTTTGTGCAGATCCGATAAGTAATAAAGTATTTATACCGTGAGTTCTGTGCCAAGTGCATTTCTTCGCTCAGGGCTCATTTAGACGCTTCTTGAGAGACTTGTGTTTTGTTTCGGTAAAAATGGTTCGTATCGTCAGTTCGCTGAGTTTCTTCCCGTTAGGTGGGTATGACACATTCATAGTTTGTTAAATGTTAAGAAGCCCTGAGACACAGTTTCGTGAAAAAAAAGCTTAACAGGTTAAAGGTCCCATGTCATGCTGGTTCTCACCCGTCCCCTTGTGTTCTGAAGCTTCTGCATGTAAACGGTCTGCAGAGTCACAAACCCTCAAAGTGCACCCTGTAGAGAGTAAAACTCTAACACAGAGAAGACCTGTCTGTGCTGCCCCAGAACGCCTCGTTGGACATTTCTTTTTTTCCATTTGTTTCTTCCTGAGTTCAGTGACGTGACCATACCCAGGTCCAAATGGACCAATCCGTGGAGCTCCTCACACACACACTCACTCAGCCTTATCTTTTCTCAGCTGCGGCCCCGTGGATGTCTACTCACAGTTCGCCACACACTCACGTGTGTTTGCTCATGCTGAGTTCTGCGGTGTCTCGCTGTCTCGCAGACCCCACGCAGCAACCAGGAAACGACCCCAGTAACCCAGCTCACACTGTCCGCTCCTCGAGCCTCAAAGGGCGGAGCAGCGAGCCCCCCAACGTCCCGCCAGCACGGCACCCAGACCCCACGCAGCATTCTCATCTGTTTGTCATTACTGGGGTCATTTCCTGGTTGCTAACAAACGCCACTGTGACACATAAACTCTGCTGTAACGGTGGTGGACTCATCAGAACAGAGTGGGCGAGCTGACCAATCAGAGCACAGTGGGCTCACAGGGAGGGGGGGGCAGGAGCTCCAACAAGCCGTGTAGGACAGAGAGTGAATACACAGACTATACAGAGATGCTGTATGAGAAACCAATGTGAGTTTGGAACATTGAACAATGTACATCTATTCTAGTAGACCTCAACAATGGAATTATGATCAGTAGAAATGGCCATGACATGGGACCTTTAATATTAAAAGGACTAAGAAATGTATTCTATTTTTGTATTTATTTTAATCTTTTATAGGATATTTAATTTTAACTTATGTATTTAAATACATTTATTTCATTTATCTCGGCTTCGAAATATTTTTTGAATCATTTCTATTTTATTTATCTTTTCGTTTGAACTTGTTATGTTTCTATCAAAGTGTGTTTTTATTGCACATCTTTACTAAAATATGTAAACAAGAATATATAAGGTAATCGTAACGTTATGATATATATATCCAGATGCTTTCACAACAAAGTGAAATAGATATTAGAGGGAGTTATGATGTGTGGAAGTACACATTACTTTATTAATACGGCTCACAGAATCTGGGCGCTTCAGATTTCCAGTAACACAGTGTTCGATGTTTAATGGACGCTCCGCCGTCACTACCAACAACACAGGCACTTAGAAACACATTAAAGAGTAAAAGTACTGCAGAGGGATCCTATAATACTGCGGTGTGTGTGTGTGTGTGTGTGTGTGTGTGTGTGTGTGTGTGTGTGTGTGTGTGTGTGAGTGTGTCACTTCAGATATACTGACAAACACTTACAGTTATGAGACGACTAACTCTGAGACAGAGACAGTTGCTTTATAATGTGTGTGTGTGTGTGTGTGTGTGTGTGTGTGTGTGTGTGTGTCTCTGTGTCTCTCTGTGTGTGTGTGTGTGTGTGTGTGTGTCTCTCTCTGTGTGTCTCTGTGTGTCTCTCTGTGTGTGTGTGTGTGTGTCTGTATGTGTATGTGTATGTGTATGTGTATGTGTATGTGTGTGTGTGTGTGTGTGTGTGTGTGTGTGTGTCTCTCTCTGTGTGTCTCTGTGTGTCTCTCTGTGTGTGTGTGTATGTGTCTGTGTATGTGTGTGTGTGTGTGTGTGTGTGTGTGTGTGTGTGTGTGTGTGTGAGTGTGTCACTTCAGATATACTGACAAACACTTACAGTTATGAGACGACTAACTCTGAGACAGAGACAGTTGCTTTATAATGTGTGTGTGTGTGTGTGTGTGTGTGTGTGTGTGTGTGTCTCTGTGTCTCTCTGTGTGTGTGTGTGTGTGTGTGTGTCTCTCTCTGTGTGTCTCTGTGTGTCTCTCTGTGTGTGTGTGTGTGTGTCTGTATGTGTATGTGTATGTGTATGTGTATGTGTATGTGTGTGTGTGTGTGTGTGTGTGTGTGTGTCTCTCTCTGTGTGTCTCTGTGTGTCTCTCTGTGTGTGTGTGTATGTGTCTGTGTATGTGTATGTGTGTGTGTATGTGTATGTGTATGTGTGTGTGTGTGTGTGTGTGTGTGTGTGTGTGTCTGTGTCTGTGTGTGTGTGTGTGTGTGTGTGTGTGTGTGTGTGTGTGTGTGTGTGTGTGTGTGTGTGTGTGGAGGTTACAGAGAAGTGTGTCAAGGACAGTGGGACATCAGCAGGAATAGGAGATGTCCCACTGTCTCACTTTTAAACACCGTGTTCAAATCCTCTCTGTCTCTAAAGAGGTTTGGGAGAAGCGTGTTATATTTCAAATGATTTCTGACTGGAATTACTTTAAACATCTGTCGTTGTTTCTCTGATTCAAACTGATTTCAGTATCATGTTCATCATCTGACTGTTCCTAGGTTTTCAGACTGTTCGGATCATTTTGGTTTGTTTTGACATCGTTGTGTTTGAAATGGAAAGGCTTGTTGGTCGTATGCAGCACAGTTACAGACGTCCTGAGGACACACACACTATCTGATGTGTTACTCCGTCCTCAGAGCGGCTCACTCTCAGCTGCATTGATTTTCTTTAAGCTAAATTTAGCCGCTGTCACTTCCTCTGCAGCCAGACGCGGCGCCACATGTTGGAGGGTGCCAAATTGAGTCGGCCAAATCCAGGAGGTCAAAGAACAACAACCACGTAAAACTGGAGGCAGATAAGAAAGTCCTGCAGGCTCAAGACCGGGTCCGAAAAGACCGAAAACCCTCTCTGAAGTCCAGAGGAAGCTCGAACTCCAAGAAGACCTGAGGTGTGAGAGCGATGTTCTGACGGCGGAGACGTAAGCCTCGAAGAGGAAGAACAACGCCTCCAACGAGCGAATCCAGCCTCAGCCTCCTGACTCTGAGGGCTCTTCAGGTGGATCACGAGTCCATGAGCTCAGAGAACAAAGGTCTGCTGATCCAGAAAGCAAGGAGAAGAACCACCTGGTGAAAGAGAAGAGCGTGGCTCCAGCAGCTGACTCAGATCCCGGTCCGTTCTGCTACAGGTGAGGAGAGACTGCCTGAAAGCACACCGCAGGGTTTCCCACGTTTTTCCACGTTTTTTCTCCAAGTTTTCCCACGTTTTTCTCCAAGTTTTTCCACGTTTTTCTCCAAGTTTTCCCACGTTTTTCTCCAAGTTTTCCCACGTTTTTCTCCAAGTTTTCCCACGTTTTTCTCCAAGTTTTCCCACGTTTTTCTCCAAGTTTTCTCACGTTTTTCTCCAAGTTTTCCCACGTTTTTCTCCAAGTTTTCTCACGTTTTTCTCCAAGTTTTCCTCCAAGTTTTCCCACGTTTTTCTCCAAGTTTTCTCACATTTTTCTCACGTTTTTCTCCAAATTTTCTCCAAGTTTTCTCACATTTTTCTCCAAGTTTTCTCACATTTTTCTCCAAGTTTTCCCACGTTTTTCTCCAAGTTTTCCCACGTTTTTCTCCAAGTTTTCCCACATTTTTCTCCAAGTTTTCTCACGTTTTTCTCCAAGTTTTCCCACATTTTTCTCCAAGTTTTCTCACGTTTTTCTCCAAGTTTTCTCACGTTTTTCTCCAAGTTTTCCCACGTTTTTCTCCGGGTTTTCTCACGTTTTTCTCCAAGTTTTCTCCTGGTTTTCTCCGGGTTTTCTCTGGGTTAGCTTCGGTTCCCTCCTGCTACATAGTCTAGTTACCAGCTCATAG